AGACGTAATTAATTAATACAAGTCAGATATAGATAATATATCCTCTGGAGTGGCATAAAATCTTGTTTTTTTAAATCCGAAATTTATTACGTCCGCAGATGATTTAAACATTTTCAGAATTTGTATAGATTCAAGCGATACCGAGATAGTCCAAGAAGATTTAAATAGATTTTCAAACTATTGCCTTAAAAATAAACTGCAGCTTAGTCTCTCCAAATGTCTTACAATAACATTTACCAAAAACAGAAATATTATTAAAAATAATTATAAATTGCTAGGTGTGGATTTGGATTTGGTTCAGTCAGTTCGAGATCTAGGTGTTCTTTAAGATGCGAAATTACACCTCTACCAGCATATTAAAGCTATTAGAGATAAATCTCTTAGAATGTATGGTTTCATGACCAGATCGTCACGTGACTTCAAACGTCCCTCAACACTCTTATTTCACTACAAAGCACTATTATTAGATCTCAATTAGAGTTTACGGTGCCAATTTGGATCTCTATCTTTAAATAATATACTGAGATATTGGAGAAAAAGAAGAGAGAAAGAGAAATTCAACGCAAATTCTTACTGAAGGTCCACTATAAATATCATCGCTGTCGTCAATCGTACTCGCTTCTGCTGGAAGAATATAAATTGCTTACCTTAGAAAACATGCGTACTCTCCTTAGCGCTATAACATGGGTACTTGTAAAAACAAATTTGACTGTACTGCTTATGTAACGATTTGTATTATCTGGTTATGCATTATGTGCACAGGCGAGGGCCGCGCGTGCTCCGGCTATTCTATGAGGCTCCGTTCCGCACACACGTCAGTACAGGCGCTCCTCTTCGTCGGCGCACTGATACTTTTAAAAACCTTTTTTCCGACCTGGACATATTCGCAGACGCTGAATTGCATTTCAGAAGAAAAGCAACTGTTAATTTGCATGTATATCATTGTTTTGGTGTGGCTTTGAAGCACGTCAAACTTGCTGTTTGAAGTGTTTCGGAGTCATACTTTATCACTTCATTTTTTAGTTTACTATAAGTTTTGGAGTAGGTATACAAATCATTATTTATTTATTTGTTAATTCTCTTGTGCTGGTGCTCCGCATGGCTGTTCGTGTCCGCCTTGTCTGGGTTTAGCAGCGGTGTCTGCTTTTATTTCTTATAAAGTATGATAAGGTAACTAAAAGGACATCGGTCAACTCCCATACATCGTTTTATTTCAAATTAAATTGTTGAGTTTTTCAACAAATGATATATCATAAGATTTTCCGTAATTTATTAAGCTTATATCTGTAAGAATCACGACTAAAGAAAACCGAGGAAAAAAATGTTATTTTGACATTTTTATTACGTATTTATATTACATCTGTTCATTACAGAAATTGATTTTTTGCACAAAAATCATAACAATTATACAATAACACAGATAAATTCAAACTGTAGTAGAAGCCATTTCATATTACTACCAAGCCATCCTACCATTCAGTATGGTCGCTCTACAAAGATCCGGCTAGGTGGGTACCTACTACTGCAGTGCGAGAGAGGTATTTTCCCGTAAAATAGTAATCCTAATGCATTACTGTGCTTCGGCAACAGGCAACTGTAGCAAATGAAATTATTGGGTAAGTATTTGAAGACTTACCAACTAATGTCTCAGGTGACGTTCGCAGGCCATTGCAGTAGAAGTAAAGAGGGGCATCCCAAAATGTTTTAAAAGTAAATTCCCACCCGTGCGAAGCCGGGATAAGCCACTTGTTATTATTAAATGTAGTTATTCTACGAGTATTATTGATCAACAAATACAAGTAAATGAATTGGCTGCTTTAAACCAATAAGCGCGGACCTATGACTGGGTACAACCAATAGCATACGCGCTTAGTGAAACCTATTTTTTTTAATCGAGCCTTGTTTTCTTGTATTTCAAACTTAGATGAAAACAAAAAGGGTAGATACGGCACTAGCCTCACAAAAGTGATCCGCATGAATTGTGGTCCACGACCCTAATCGCTTTAGTCACAACTTGACATACAAACGACGTACATGTGAACGCCAAAAAGAAATATTGCTAATATTTTGTGTTTATATGATAAAACAATGCCTAAGTGTGTTTTTAAAAAGTGCTCAAATTGCTCAAGAACTAAAAATAAAACCCACGGCATCACTTTTCATTCGTAAGTACTATATAATATATTTTTCATAAAAATTGCTGTTTGTTTTGAATCTTATTCGGTAGTGACGTCGAGTACTGGTCGCCTGATTGGTCGGTAATGCAGTGACGCGGATCTCGCCGTCTCGTTTGCGCTGCCGTTGAAACTTAACGTGCTGTTTCGTTCGGGTCGGTAATGCAGTGACGCGGATCTCGCCGTCCCGTTCGCGCTGCCGTGGGATCAGTTTTTGTTTGATGCAAGTATGAGCGTACCGTATCTACCCTTTTTGTTTTAATCTAAGATTTCAAACAGTTCTATCGTGACTTAGCCATCAAACCGATAATCATTTAATTGAAAATGCGTGGTATTTGACGGTTACATTTGAAAATCAAGCCTGAGCTTGATTTTCAGCTTTTGTTCACGGTATCTTGTCTAGGGGGTCAGGGTCGTTAAGTGACTAAAAAAACGATTATATCGATTCACACACGCACACCTTTTTTTACAAAATCACCAATTTAAAAATAAAATAATAACAAAGTCAATAAACAGAATAAACTATTACAATAAATGTATTTTCAATAAAAAGATTGTTTACCAAATAGGACCAGTTACGATGAATGTCAATGTAGTGTTTTATTATTATTTTTATTTTAATCGGCCTTTATTTGTATCAATTACAACTTGTAAAAACTGTTTTTATTTAATAAATAATATTAGTAAAATGTCTATTCTTGACGTTCAACTATGATCCAAATATGATTTAGCCGATGTCCTTTACGGAGTACTAGCATTACCAAGAAACTAGTATGACTATGATTAACCCGAAGATAACGGTGTGGGCTTCGCAATAATTAAGGTATTGCTTAATGTACGTAGCTATAAGTTATATTGTGAATTGCTGTTTGTTATCCCGAGTAAAATGAAATAAAAATAAAGGTGACGTCGTGATAATGTATGAGTGAGTGCAGCTGCTGACTTGTAGCGAAGAACACTATACCAATTCCTTAAAAAAATATGTTTCTGCGTATTTATATCATACTAATGTAAATCGAGAATAGCGTTGGCCCCAGAAAATTGTATGTTCCACATTGAAGTACCATGGAAGTGCCATGTGGAACACCGGAATCAATGAACTCATAATCACTAGCAAACCCATTGATGGTAAGGCATAGTTAGCTATTAAATATAATGTTCTATTTCATAGTTAACTGACAAAAATCTGGAGAATTGTTGCACTTATACCAATGGAGTTAAGTTTATTTAGAAATACTTGAATTGATTCTGTATCAAAGGCTCTTAGTAGGTCGAGATATATTTCAAGCGTCTTAGGCTCCCTCATATTTACTTAAGTACAGTTAGAAAGGGATATCTCTATGTGCTATACTGAGGGACATCCCTTTCTTGCTGTACTCCAGTAAAGATCAACATTTAGTTGTCATTCTGTAATACGAGCCTTAGTCTTGTTTTCAATGCTGTGTTGCATATATTTCAGTAAGTTTCAAAAACTGTGTCTTCGTTATTTTTCCTTTATGTGTAGACGTACTGGTTTTTTGGTTGGTTTTGGTAAGAAAAAAAAATGGGTGCGTGTACTTATGTAGGCGCGTGAGAAGTTATCCTTCTTTGGCATCGTTTAAAATTAGTTTTTAATTGCATGCAAATAATTAATTACAATAAATTAATAAAAAGTCTGGAAAAGGACACAGTCAATAAAGTTCAGTTTTAATTTGAAAAAATAAATTAATAATCAAAATATTCAATTAAAATCGCTACTGAATATAATTTATAAGAACATATGTGATTTGCACTTGTATGAAACTCAAACACGTATTCCGAATATACAAACTAGAAACATGTGAATAAATATTATAAATATGAATACCTATAACTGTTACTTTATTACAAAAAATAAAGATGTGGTTTTTGGTTCTACTACACCAATGGTCAAGAGATGGCGCTGTAGTCTCCTGAATCGCGCTTTGGTTCTGCTGTTCCAGATTAATAAATACTTTTGATATTATAAATATGAATACCTATAACTGTTACTTTATTACAAAAAATAAAGATGTGGTTTTTGGTTCTACTACACCAATGGTCAAGAGATGGCGCTGTAGTCTCCTGAATCGCGCTTTGGTTCCGTTGTTCCAGATTAATAAATACTTTTGATAGGCCTTCACAATGCAGTCGTTAGCACCCACTAAATAGAGATTCTTTTTCTATTTTGTTGGTAGATTTTCTTAATGTACGGTAAACACAAAAGTAACGCATGAAGTTGGTCGCTTTAGCGTTAAAATTGCTGTTAAAATTTTGTGTTACAGTGATGCGCGCGCATCTTAAAATTTCACTCTCATCATTTTTTCATAACGCGCCTAAAGAAGTATAACTTCAAAAATAATTGTCTAGATAGCGGAGGAGTCTTTCATTGGTATCTTCTCCAATATTTTGGAAAATGTAGTCAAATAGTACAATAGTAACAGATACAGTGGACATCAACTGTATCTCAATTCTCCCTAAATACATTATGAATATTACATGAAACTCTGAATAATGTAAGAACTTCATCACACTCCAGTTACGACGGGTTGATATAATATGGAGAGATATGTGCGTGTAAATACAAATACTACAAAGTCAAATTAGGGTCATATATTTTAATAAAACATTATCATACATGAAAACAAATTTTATTCGTTGACTCTTCGGCAAACTTAATTGGTCCACCTATTTATTGCTTCTAACTAGAAACGTGCTTCCGCACAGTGCGTCTCGGGGGGAGCGGGCGGGGCGCGGGGCCCCCCCGGGCCTGCGGCGGCCGCGTGCCGACCGCGGCGGGACCGGCAGCCGGGCGGTGGTCGGGCGATGGCCGGGCGATGGCCGTTCGGCGACCGGGCGGCGACCGCGCGACGGCCGGGCAGCGGCCGAGCGGACACCGCAGGCCGGTGGACCAGCCAAGTTGCCGCGGCGGCGGACCGCTCGCGCACCTACTTACACTTACGCTAACTATGTACAAAATTAGTACCCGTTTAACCAACGTATATCATCGAGACTATATACAGATTAGATTAGAAAATACGTGCGGGGAGGCCCGCGATCGCGAAACGAACGGCATCAAAGGAACGTCCCTGTCGTCGGTCGCGGAACGAGGCGGCGCGACGGCCCGCGGGTCGTCAGCGCGCCCGGGGTCACTGGCCGGCAGCGGGCTCGGGATCCGGCGCGGGTGCGGGCGCGGGCGCGGGCGCGGACCCTGACACGGACTCGGACGCAGGGTCGAGCGCGGGCGCGGTGGCGGCGGCGGGCGGGGAGCTGGCGTCGCTGGAGATGCGCGCGAGCGTCTTGTAGAGCGGCGAGTTGACGAACCGCGGGTACGAGTCGCGGTGCATCAGCGTGTAGATCTGCAGCTGCGCCTCGTCGAACGTGTGCGGTGTCGGCTCCACCATATTGCGGTTGACTATCTCGCGGACGCGCGAATCAAGCGACACCTGGAAATTTTATTTTATATGATCAATCGATCGATCGGAAATCGTTTATTCGATCTAGGTGGTGCGAGTCACGAAGCTACGCCATCGGTTCCACCACTGAGGGATCCACTGATTCTTATACTAGTATTGACCGACCTCACATTAGGTAGAATAAACTTAACGTTTAGTTTTACTCGAGTTTAGTTTTAATTTATTTACCGTAAACCAATGAAAGACTTCAGAGAGAGCTTATTTTACTTCGTCATAACAATCATTTTCTCTTCTAGCTTTAAATACTAAAGAGGTATCATCGGCAAATAGAACTGTCTCACACGAATCTCTTGTAAAGTGAGGAAGGTCATTGATATAAATAAGGAAAAGCAATGGGCCCAATATTGAACCCTGAGGCACTCCCATACAAATGGGTGGTCCTGTAGACTCAGCTTCATTTATAACTACTTTCTGAATCCTAGCAGAAAGATAAGACTGTATCAGAGTTAGTGAAATATTTGATACACCATAATGCCTCATTTTAATTGACAATGTTTCATGACGCAGTCAAACGCCTTTGATAAGTCACAAAAAATGCCAATAGCATCGTCCTTACTTTATGGTTATGGTTTATGGTTATTATTATCAGATAACACAAAGAAAATCAAAGAATACTGAATCATTTTATTGTTCCCAAATGTCAAACATTTTCCTTTTTTTTCATAAATATCTAATGTACCGTAGTAGTAGTAGTGCTATGCCAATGGACCACTACAGAGAGCGTAATATGGCTGTAGAAACTTGAAAGTCTCAGGACTACCTACTCTTGTTTTATACTAGGTACAGATAATAACTGCGCATTACCCCAAAAGTTAAAGTTAAAGCGGATTCCAGGCGTGAAGCTATCTGAAGTTGCAAAATACGTGTTCCGCTCGAGCCATCTCTATTCGAGGTATTCTATTTGACCCAACATTCATATTATTAGGGATAATAAATTTCGATTACAATGAAACTGACCTCCTTCGGTGAGAGGATAGAGATGTAGTCTTCGTAGATGAACCTCGCCTTCTCCTCGACGGCGTCGGGGTCGGTCTCCCGCTTGAGCTCCTCGCACGCCAGCCAGAACATTATGTTCTCCTCGGAGTACTCGCCGCGCAGGAAGTCGCGGAACACCTTGCGCCCCGCTGTCATACAATCTCCAATCAGATTATGGACTTCAATATTGACGACCTCCATAAGTGTGTACCAGAAAAAAGAGAATTTATGTACCCCGCGGTTTCAAGGCGTCGCTTACACCACAGAGATCTGAGTATATAAATGGTCGCTACTTCCTAGGCGAAAAATACCTATCTTGCACGACGACCGCTCATACGATGTTTTAAATGCTAAAGTCCTCGTAAAAACAAAGCGAGTGTACGACCTTTACCAAATCGCGTGAGTTTTGTTGGTGCCACGAAGTAATTTAATAAGAACATGGAATTATTAATTGACGTTAGCGTGCCATAACACATTACGCCATTAACCATAGTAAATAAAGAAAATTAATAGATGACAAATTTAGTTTGAGGGGCTTTTATTTGTCAAGTTTAATAAAAAAAATATAGAGTAATTGGAAGATGGATGCAAAGCTATAAAGGGAAGGCGATATAGCACATTTAGAACCATTTGAGCCATGTTTGTCTTAAACGAAGTCTGTTTATTTATTATTAATGATTATGACTACTGGTAACAAACAACAATTAGAACGAACGAATTAAAGTACCATAATTTGTTATACAGAACCTAGTTTCAATAATTTGTGAGCTATTAGTATACCTTAAAACAAAGAAGAATAACCAAGCATGTTTTAAAAAGCTTTGAGTAAAAAGAGCGCATTTAGTGTTTTTAGGCGTGATTTTTTTTTTATTATAGATATACATTGACTTTAATTCTGCAGTTAAAAAATAATTCTGATCATTTAGACGTTTTAAACATTTTCTTAGATTGCATGCACATTACTTAAACGAAATAAAATAGTAAAGGATTAATTTATCATTGAACCTGGCAATTGAAAATTATTTGCAATTAATTGTTCCATTTTGGGTTTTTTACCAATATTCATAAGCATCAGTTTAAAAACAATATATACTTTCTCTAAGACAAACGCGGCTAAAATGGTTCTTAATGGACTATGCAAGCTTGCCTTTAAAGTTTTGCACCTTGTATACTACTTGTATACCTTTCAATCACCCTGTATACTACTCAAGGTTCAATTGTAAGAGGATTTTATATTTTTACATGATTACCTCAAAAAGTGAGTGTTATATTTGTTTGTTGTTATTATAATGGGGTCGAATATCTAGGGCGGTAAAAAAATTAGCATGACTTTTGGCCGCGTCCAAATCGTCAGTCTTTTGAATAGGAGCTGCTAGAAGGTTTACATAACATAACATCTCATTATCTGACGCGCTCCATTATTTTTTTCCTTTTTTCTATCCCTTCGTACCACCTCCACACCATTGCAAACCGGCAGATTAATATTGTTTTGATTAAGGTTGTCCGTCATCAGAAACGTTACGTGAACCGTCCAATAACTCACTGATTCCAAACGTCTGGGGTCAAAATAATTTTCAACAATCATGGCCGGCTGTTGAAAATTGTTTTGGCCCCAGACGTTTGACCGTATATGAAGGGCTCAGGTATGTTATTCTGTCACGCTCGAGTCAATTCCAAAATCTCCGCTTGGGCTTTCCTACTATTAGCGATACTATTATGAGAAGTGGTATACCTGCGCTGCGCATGAGTCGATCGAAGGACTGCCCCCAGCTCTGGATCTCCTCCAGGGTAGGCCTGCAACACCACACGTCACATGGCATATTACAATCAAAATAGCTTTTGGTTTTTAATTATCGGCATTAGGAGCATATTTGCGGAGTTATTCCCATAAAATGAAATGCTCTTCAGTAGATTTTGGTTGTAATGCGTAAATTTGCCCCGGGCGGGGGTTGTTCATATTCAGTAATCATTGCTTGTTGGCGGATTTTGATCGTATAAATGAATCTAAACATGCTAAGAATTTTCGCGTGATTTGATATGACTTGTATTGTCAAAGTTCGTATGTAACTAGTTATAGTCGCGTATTCGTCGAGGGAGACAACAGTGTGTTAGTTACAACTACCACTATAGAAATAAAGAATGGACTGAGCATTTGGTGGGAGCAACGAAGCGAACAAATAGCTGGTACTGTACCATCGCTTCCACTCTTTCTAATGAGTTGTTAAATTCATAATACGAGTGGCGCTACGTCCATTCTCTATGTGATGCAATCCGGCCAAAATTTGCAGGGATGACCTTTATTTTTACGCTATAACCCTGAGTAACTTTATTTACTCAGGGATAACGTAACATTCTAATGGTGAAGGATTATTTGAAATCGGTTAGGTAGTTTTTGAGTTCATTCGTTACACACATACAAAAATACGCATCTTTCCTCTTTGGAAAGATGAAGACACAGTACGAAATATAGATCGTTGAGTAGCGTTAGAGCAAGCGCACATTGAGCCACAAGCTGCGAGTTTTTTCATACATTTTGTATAATATCTGCGCTAACTAAGCGTTCGAGTAGCCGACACTTAGCCACTAGCAGCGTCGATCGGTGGCTGCGTCTACTGGCTAGAATGCGCCACTAGTGGCTGCGTCTACTGGCTAGACTGCGCCACTGGCGGCTGCGTCTACTGGCTAGACTGAGCAACTAGTGGCTGCGTCTACTGGCTAGACTGCGCCACTAGTGGCTGCGTCTACTAGCTAGACCGCGCCACTAGTGGCTGCGTCTACTAGCTAGACCGCGCCACTAGTGGCTGCGTCTACTGGCTAGACTGCGCCACTGGCGGCTGCATCTACTGGCTAGACTGAGCAACTAGTGGCTGCGTCTACTGGCTAGACTGCTCCACTAGTGGCTGCGTCTACTGGCTAGACTGCGCCACTGGCGGCTGCGTCTACTGGCTAGACTGAGCAACTAGTGACTGCGTCTACTGGCTAGACTGCGCCACTAGTGGCTGCGTCTACTGACTAGACTGCGCCACTAGTGGCCGCGTTTAGTGGCTCAATGTGCGCTTGCTCTTAGTGAGGTGAGTAGAGTGCAGGGAGAGGCTGGTTACTGACGGTGCGTCGCCGTCGCCGAGCAGGGGGTCCTGGGGGCCGGGCTCGCGTGGCTTCTTGCCCGGGCCGCCCTCCGAGCCGCGCGCCGCCAGACTGCAACACGACACATTCGTCACATCAAATAGACAACCTGTTCTTACGCAACAAAAACTGTGTTTCCGATACACTGGCTAAACATTGATATTAATAAGTGCAAGAATAAATAAAAAAATAATCCAACACTCACACTAATTAGCCTTAAAGTGAGCAAGATTATATCTACACACATCAAAAGTGTCTAGGGATCAAGCATTTTTATGCGGATTTCTTGAGATTGAGATGTGGCTTTGTAATAAATTTATGATTTTATAAATTTATATGGATCCTTTTTGGTGCATTTCATAATTTGAATCAGGAACTGTGAATCAAATTCGAGTAAAAGATGAAAATCAGCTGTCAATATTTTCCCTATAAAAACATACAACGCATTGAAGACATTATTAGTGCTACTGTTTCCCTACTACTGATTAAAACCAACGTTATTATGGAGCGGCGACGTCATTTAAGCAGGGAAGAAATGCTCAGAGCTGTGGGAATGATAGAAGCTGGTTCCCGGCAACGTACTGTGGCTTTAGCTCTGAATACAAGTCAGAGTGTTATCAGTCGACTTTGGACACGATACCGAAGCACTGGTACCGTGGCTGAGCGCCATGGAGGACGGTATCGCTGCACCACACGGAGACAAGACCGATACATTCAAATCTTAACTCGAAGAGCTCCAACAATAACCGCCATGATGTTAGCCGTGAGGCTTCATCACTCTTCAGGGAACTTAATTAGCGACCAAACAGTCAGAAACCGCTTGCATGAAGTGAACCTTCATTCCCGAAGACCGCTACGGGTACCACCTATAGCAATGCACAATCGTAGGATTCGATATCAATGGGCTCTTGAACACAGAAATTGGGCAGAAGAACAATGGCGTTTCGTGTGCTTTTCTGATGAGTCTCGTTTTGGTATGAGACCGGATACAAGACGTATACGACACTGGGGAACCCCTGGACGCCAACAGCGATTAAAATCCTGCCAGGAAGTCCATCCTTATAGTGGTGGAACCATCATGGTATGGGCGGGTATTTGGATCGGCGGAAGAACTGAGTTGATTTGGATCAGAGGCAACCTCAACGCTCAAATTTATGCTGAGACGATTGTATCAGACGTCATCGTTCCTCTACAAGTGCAAATCGGTCCCTTATTTCAGTTAATGCATGATAATGCACGACCGCACACCGCAAGAGTTGTAAGACAGACTCTCGCCGCAGCTAACATCAATGTCCTGCCCTGGCCTGCTCAGTCGCCAGACTTGAACCCGATTGAGCATGCATGGGATATGCTACAGAGAAGAGCTCTGCCGAATATGGAGGGTATCCAGTCGCAAGAAGACCTTTTTTTGTTGTTGCAACGAACATGGGCGGCCATTCCACAGCGTGATTTGGATGAACTCATTTTGAGTATGCCAAACCGATGTTCTTGTGTTGTTAGTGTTCGCGGTAGAAATACGGATTATTAATTGTTTAAGTTACCCAATAAAATTTTAGAGAAAACTGTTATTTCAGTCTTTTTTCGAACTTTTGTGTTAGTGGTTCAAATGTCGAAAATCCCTTTATTAGGAAAATGGCAAATTTCTTCATTAATGCAAAGGTGACTTGGTTTATCGTTACTGTGACAAACGAAAACACTTTATTTGATGAATCCTTAAAGAAAATTTTAATTAATATCAATCAGGAGAATAGTTATTGCAAAAATATATGTTGATCCCTAGACACTTTTGATGTGTGTATACTAATATTATAAAAGCGAAAGTGTGTTTGTCTGTCTATTACCTTTTCACGCTTTAACCGCGCCTATTTAGATGAAATTTGGTTTAAATGTGTAATTATATTTTATTAACACGCTTTTATTAGGTCGACTTGTAACGAACTATGTAATAAAATCTAAGAATCTGAATTCCACGTACTACTATTTTTTGTATCATCGTAAAACTTAGCAATTACTTATATGTAGATTAGATGACAATACAATATTATGCTACCATCGAGCTGGTCTGATGATGGGACTGG